TGATGATGCTATAGCTAGTTCCATGCTCGTTTATTGCTGAGATATTGTAGATACCGGTCTCTCTATGTGATATGTTTCTCAGATGAAGGATCAATTCCCGGCCACTTATAATTCTGGCAAATGTATCTGCCGCCTTCATAATGGTCATATTAGCAGGTGGGTTACTGTCCACCAAGCATCGTAGAATCACAGAACTCTCTTCTTTCACAATCACAGATTGCACATAAGATCCATCACTGACTTGTTTCTCTCCTAAGGAAATGCACATAAAATAGAGAAAATAGGTAAAAATCTGAGTAAAATAAAGAAATATACATTGAGAAGGGGGTGTACATTTATCTATTAATCAGTATCTATATCAAGAATGAAACATATTATGATATATAAAATTAGGGAGATATGGGTGGGGGGTAGGGATGGGGAACACAACTGGCTAATGACTCACATGTTATCTGATAACTATGAAAGGGATCAAACAGGTAAGCCAGATATTGCTAATCAGGATCTCCTTTATATTAAATTAGCTTTCTTGGATCAATATCAAGATTGTGTGATTAATGATAACAATTGATAAGACTGTTTCTAAGTGGGTAAGGATTTCTAATTTTGACAAACGTACTGGCTGGCTGAAAAGGTTGTAACATTTTTATGTGTGAAAACATGCACAAAATATTGTCCAAAAGTCAAATAAAATCATTGATCTAATACTAATGCTGGATTGGGATTTACCCCATAGACCTATCAGTTTGAATTAAAATGAAAGGCTGTGATGGTGTTTGGAAATGTGATAAGGCATCCAGCATGTATGTATGGACACAGCATCGGTGTGTAGGTAAGTTTGAAAGTGTAAGTTCATCAGTAGCATTTACTGGGGAGAGGGGGAAGAGGAATTGTCACTATAATACGTGTGAGAATTGTTGTTTTAAAGAACTACTTAAATTGGGTGGAGAAGTGAATACTTATTTTTCCTCAATAGCATAACTTGCTTCAGAAACCAGAAAAAAATAGAAAGCTGAAAAACTCAAACAACATTTCTAGATTGCTGTTCAGGGATACCTGATACATTTTAGTTATGCAATTATTAAATTATTACAATTATGTTAAAAACTGATTGTTAGGGAACTAATGAAGCATTCCAAAAACAGTTTGCATTCCATGGAGCATGGGTGCCCAAAAGGTAGATCCCCAGATGTTGTAGAACCACAACTCCCATGATGCTTTGCATTCCTTTATAATAACTTTAGAATGGCAATGCATCATGGAAGTTTTAAATCCTCCTGAGATCTGCCTTTTGTGTACCCCTGCCATAGAATATATAGAGTGAAACAGGCAAAATGAAACATGAAAATGTGGTTTAGAAACAGGAGTTCTACCATGTTACTTCGACTAAATTATCATTTCTGAGAATATGGAAACCTGTTTGATGTTCACACTGGATGATGTTTTGCGATGTCAGTATAATTGCAGATTATAAGAGCAGTACCTGATATCTGAGTGGTGATTGTCGGAGGATCTGGAATAGGAACATAGAGTACAATAAGTAAAATACTGGTTACTCTTTGCTATTACCACCACACGATCATGAAAATACATATGGATGATTTTCTCTAAATCGTCATATAATGAATTAAAGTAAAGGCTGATTAAGGTTATGATCTGGGCAGATGTATAATATTGGTGTGGTTATTTAATGATATCTGATACATATTAATGTCGGTATATTTTTCAAATTTAGATGCACATAATTATCACTCCCTCTTACAGATCTGGGTCTGAGTCAATGGTGCTGGGTCTGAAGATGGATGGTTTTTTCACTTTCTATATATTTGGGTAAGTGCACTGTTTTCTTTTAACTTATTGTTACAATGACAAAGGGATAGGTGTCCCGAACCTTTGTCTTTTGGCATGCCCTTCTGATAAATGTAGGTTTCACCAGTGGGCCTGATAAACTAAGCTTCGGAGAAAAAAAAAAAAAGCAGAAGTGGTCATGGTTGTTGGAGTAACCCTTTAACCTTACAGCAACTTGTTTTACTGGAGCTTACACTGAGCTGAGTGATTCCACTCTTTTATAAATGCTAGATAGCAGTATTTTTTTTTCAAATCTTTAATATAAAGTTTATTTACCAAACCAGCATTTGTCTGGAGTTTAGAGCACATTTCAGACCACACTAATCAAGTTGGATAGCTATATATATATATATATATAAAGCTATATATTTTGTAATTGTTTCTATTGGTCGATACCTACATAACACAGTGATACTGACAGCAATGCTGGCATTTCCATGTTCATTCGAAGCTTCACAGCCGTAGGTATCTGTATGCTGACGTGATATGTTCATTATTGTCAGTACATTTATTTCAGTTCTTGATATTTTTTCTTTTCCTCTCCACCAAGTCGGGTTAGCCAGGGGGTTACTGTCTACTGAACATCGTAGAGTCACATTGTCTCCTTCCTTCACAACCACTGATCTTTTATCATTAAATGCTTCTACGGAAACACAGCACAAAGTGATACATTGGATAATCAGCTTACTGTACTGAGGAAGATATGCAATGATTAGGACCGTGTAAAATTTAGGGTAGAAACCACATACAATGTTTTATTAACTAAACTGTGCAATACCGAGCATTCACCAAGGAACTTACAATCAGTGTAAAATAGCAAAACTGGAACATTTCTCCAAATCAGGTTCTTTTCCAACTTCTCTTTTTCGTGAAACATATTCAATGGTTAATTCACTGGTCAATTCTTAGCAAGAGGCAGTTTAATGTATAACTTTGTAGGTGCTTTCAGTGTTCGAAGTACAAATAACTCCGGCAATTGATTTGGGGCGTTTAAGATATTCTGGAGTATTGTTGCCTCCACTATTGCTAGAGGGACAAGGTATTCCTCTGGCACTGGAAACATAATTTTCCTTCCTTAGATCATCATACACAGAGCCACCATCAGGGCATGACAACCATCATGTTTGTCATGGGGCTGGCGGTCCTGGGGGGTCCAGACTGCTCTGAGAGTCCCAGGCCCCACATTCCCTTTGTGCACATATACACCCTGTTCCAAATTATTATGCAAATGATATTTTTCTCATTTACCTAAATAATTTATGTAAATAACAGCATAATTAAGAGTACAATTCAAATTTTATTGAATTTATTTGTTTGCAAGATGTCAGAATAGCCTCCCAGTGCTGCTTTTTGGATGTAAACTGCAGCCTACCCTCATAGATCTTTTTCTTGAGGATGCTCCAAAGGTTCTCAATAGGATTGAGGTCAGGGGAGGATGGAGGCCACACCATGACTTTCTCTCCTTTTATCCCCATAGCAGCCATTGATGCAAAGGTATTCTTTGCAACATGAGATGGTGCATTGTCATGCATGAAGATGATTTTATTACGGAAAGCATAGTTCTTCCTTCTGTACCAGTGAAGAAAGTGGTCAGTCAGAAACTCCACATACTTTACAGAGGTCATCTTTACACCTTTGGGTCCCTAAAGAGGCCGACCAGTTCTCTTCCCATGATTCCAGCCCAAAACATGACTCCCCCACCGCCATGCTGACGTCGCAGCCTTGTTGAAACAGGATGGCCATCCACTACTCCAACCATCTGTACCATCCGGGGCTGCACGGCACTCATCAGTGAACAGGACTGTTTGAAAATTAGTTTTCATGTATTTTTCTGCCCAATGCAGCCATTTCTGCTTGTGAGCATTGGTTAGTGGTGGCCGAATAGAAGGTTTATGCACAGTTGCAAGACTCTGGAGGACTCTACACCTTGATGTCCGTGGGACTCCAGAGGCACCAGCAGCTTCAAATATCTGTTTGCTGCTATGTAATGGTATTTTAGCAGCTGCTCTCTTGATCCGATGCAGGATCTGACAGAAATCTTCCTCAATGTGCCTTTATATGCACGAACCCGTCTGTGCTCTGAATCAGCCACAAATCTCTCAATGGTGCGATGATCACGCTTACGTTTTCGTGAAATATCTAATGTTTTCATACCTCGTCCAAGGCATTGAACTATTTCACTCTTTTCGGCAGCAGAGATCCTTTTTCTTCCCCATATTGCATGAAAATGGTGCTCTGCTTAATAATGTGGAACACCCTCCTTTAGTAGTTTTTCCTTAAATTGGGCTCACCTGGCAATCTAATTATCACAGGTGTTCGAGATTGTTTTCAGTGATCAAAAGAGCCCTGAGACACAATGCCATCCATGAGTTAAACTGAAAAACTAAATATTTAATCTTTGTGACACTTAAATAGAATTTGCATAATAATTTGGAACAGGGTGTATAGCAATTACCACTACAGTATCTCACAAAAGTGAGTATACCCCTCACATTTTGTAAATATTTTATTATATCTTTTTATGTTAAAACACTGAAGAAATGACTCTTTGGTACAATGCAAAGTAGTAAGTGTACAGCCTGTATAACAGTGTAAATTTCCTGTCCCCTCAAAATAACGCAACACACAGCCATTAATATCTAAATCGTTGGCAACAAAAGTGAGTACACCCCTAAGTGGAAATGTCCAAATTGGGCCCAAAGTGCCAATATTTTGTGTGGCCGCCATTATTTTCCAGCACTGCCTTAACCCTCATGTGCATGGAGTTCACCAGAGCCTCACAGGTTGCCACTGGAGTCCTCTTCTACTCCTCCATGACGACATCACAGGCTGGTGGATGTTAGAGACCTTGCACTCCCCTACCTTCTGTTTGAGGATGCCCCACAAATGCTCAATAGGGTTTAGGTCTGGAGACATGCTAGGCCAGGCCATCTCGTTTACCTTCAGCTTCTTTAGCAAGGCAGTGGTTGTCTTGGAGGTGTGTTTGGGGTCATTATCATGTTGGAATACTGCCCTGCGGCCCAATCTCCGAAGGGAGGGGATCATGTTCTACTTCAGTGTATCACAGTA